CCCCCAACGAAGCCCCCCACTCACGGCTGACACAGCTTCACCAGGTCCTGGTCGGTGGTCCCGGGGTGCAGCCCCCGGATGTACAGATTGGTTTTGCTCAGCTGTTCGCCCGCCCCCCCGGAAGAAGGGCTGGGGCTGGGGGGGCCCATGGGCTGCGACGGCGGCACATAGGGCTGCTGGGGGCGGCGGAGGGGAGGACAGTCGGTGTCACCGAGGCCCGGTCCCGGTTGGGGCCGCCTCCCGCTCCGGCCGCGACCCACCGGGCCCCGCCGCCCGGCCGGAGAGAGGCCCGAAGGGGCGGGCGGCGAGGCCTGGCGCGGCGGGCCCGGAGAGAAGGGCGGCCTCGGCCTCGTCCCCCCCCCCGCCCCGTTTACCTTCTTTCCGCCCTTACTGCAGGCGAAGGCGGCCAGGCCCGGGCGCGGCGGCGGCACCGAGAGCAGCATCCCGGAGCGCGCGGCGGGGCGGGCGGCTCCGCCTGACGTGACGCGGGATCCGGGGCGGGCCCGGCGGGCGGCTGCGGCCTGGCAGCGAAGGGCTCGGGGAGAGGCCCGCTCCGCGCCTTAACGGGATTTCTGGGGATGCAGCCCCGCGCTCGGGGGTTCGGTAACCGGGGCCTGCGGCGGCCGCGGCCTATGAGCAGGACGCGGTCCCTTTAAGAGCGCAAAGCCCCGCCCCCGCCGCCATTACCGCCACAGCGGAGGCGGTCGCACCGTATCCATGGGCGCAGCCATTTTGGAGCTGTCGGTCACGTGTCCCTCCGCCATCTTGGCGCCTCCCACCCCCACCGCGTGACTCCGGCTGAAGGCGGGCGGGGGGCCGCCATCTTGGCGCCTCGCGGGGTTCTCCTTCGGGCCCAGGAGGACGGGGGGGGTCCGGGGGGCGGCGGGGCCTCCGTGGGGCGGGGGGTGCCGGGAGGGGGCTGTGGGGCAGGAGGGGTCCTCAGCGGGGTGACGGGTGACGGGTCCCAGGAACCCTGGGGGCTCCTGCGGGGCTGAGGTCGGATGCGCGGCCTGACCCGTGTCCCACAGAGGGCCCCTGCGGGCCGCGGAGCCGCAGCGTTTGTCCTCCCCCCCCCCCACACACACACGGCCTGGGGGCAGGGCTGCGTGTCAGGGCGGCCGTCCCCATCCCGGCCCTTTGTGCAGGGATTGTTCTGGCTCTTTCGGGGCGGCTGCGGGGCTGTGCTGAGCCAGGCCCTGGGCAGCGACCCGCTGACTCACGCCGTGTGTGGGGCTGCTGAGCTGGCAGGGACGTGGGGCCCGGCCCCCCCCTTCCCCCACACACACTGCAGCAGGGCTGGGGGCAGCTCCAATTCCGCAGCCCCTCCTGCCCTCTCCTGCTGCCTTCAGACTGGGCATCCCCGGTACCCTCCTGGCACTGCAGTGTGAGCAGGGCTGGTCCCATCTGCTGCTCCCCGCCCCCCCCTTCATCTCTGCATTCCCTCCTTTCATCTCTGCCTTTCATCTCCCACCTGAGCACCTCATGCTGGTTGTCGTGGCAACGCCCCAAATTGCCCCTGCTTGTTGCCGTGGCACCCACAGCCATCCTGGGGTGCCCGAGCCCGATTTCAGACCCCTGCAGCTCCTGCCATGGCTGTGCCCTGTTGGCAGACCTCTTGTGTGTTTTGGGGATGCCCTGGGTGTGGGCACCCTCCCCACATCGAGGGGGGTTGGCAGGACGAGGAGCTGGGAGGTGCCCCTGCTGCAGGCATCCTCTGTGCTTGCCTTGGTCCTGCAGCTGCACCATGGCCATAGGGGAGGTAAGGCCTCGCGAGCCGTGTGACCCCAGCCCCCCCAGCCCCAAGCCCTAGCTGAGAGGCCCTGAGGTCCGTCCCTGCCAGGGGAATGAGGCTCATGGCCCTTGTAGCCTGTGGTCTCAGCCCCTAGCCCTGCTGGGGGGCTCCTTGTGTGCCCCTAGTAGGGAACCCCCATTCCTGGGCTGCTCCAGTTGCCATAGTGACCCCATTGCCAAGGTGCCCTGTTGCCAAGACACCCCCTGTCACCGTGGTTGCTGAGGCATCCAGTTACCATGGCACCCCATCATCTGTCATCACTGACACTCCATCATTTCGGTAACAAATTGCTGAAGGGTCTCATCACTGTGACACCCCATCACCATGGCACCCCATCATCATGACTTCCACTTCACGCCCACAGGAGCTGCACAGCGGGCGCTTCTGGCGGGAGGTGTTGGCTGAGGCTGTGGCAACGCTCATCTTTACTGGGGTGGTCCTGGGAGCTTCAGCTGCCCCCGGCCCCCTAGTGCCAGCCCTGGCCGGGGGGCTGGCAGCTGGGACACTGAGCTGTGCCCTCGGAGCACCCCAGGCCAACCCAGCACTCACCCTGGCACTGCTCTGCACCCACAAACTGGGTGCCCTGCGTGGAGCTGCTGTGCTGCTGGCACAGTGTGCCGGGGCTGTGCTGGCTGCCACTGCTGCACGCCTGGCACTGCCGGATGACACCGGAATGGTCACCAGGGTGAGTGTCCCTGTCCCTGTGCCCATCCCGGTGCCGGTGGGTGCTGAGGCTCTGCCGTGCCCACAGGTGAGTGCAGCAGGGACAGCAGGGCAGGCATTGTGCTGGGAGATCTTTGCCACCTTCCAGCTGGCGCTTACCACCTTTGCCTCCACCAACCATGAGTCTGTCCCCACCGGGCTGGCCCTGGGCTGTGCCATCATTGCTGGAGCTCTGACTGCGGTAAGGACCCCCCAGTGCCCCCTGCCCGTGGCCCCCTGGCCCAGCCAGTCCTGACCTGTTCCCCCAGGGGCCATTCTCGGGGGGCAGCATGAACCCGGCCCGCTCACTGGGGCCTGCCATCGTCACCGGCATCTGGGACAACCACTGGGTGAGTCACAGAACCTCTGGGTTCCCCCAGAAAGCCCTCCCATCCCATCCTCCCCCAGAACAGCAATCCCTGCCCCCCCCCCTTCATTCACTCGCCCTGAGTCACCCTCAACAGCATCTTCAGATGGCGTTCTCCTGGTCCCCCCATCACAGAACAGGTCCCCCCACCCCCATCCTTTGACAGTCCTGCTCCATCCCAAACGTGGTTCCCTCCTCACCCCTGGAGCAGCTCCCTCTGGTCAGTCCCCATCTCTAGTGTGGGCCTCGTGTCCCCTGCAGCCCCTGACCCCCGTGCCACCCTGGGTATCCCTGCTCCTACTGGTCCCACTGACCTCCCCCAGGTGTACTGGGTGGGACCGGTGCTGGGTGCTGTGCTGGCTGGGCTCTGCTACGAGTTCATCTTTGGCCCTGGTGCCTCCCGGGAGAAGCTGTGTGCCTGCCTCACCTGCCGAGACGTGGCATTGGTGGAGACCACCACCCCTTCCCCCTCCTCACCTTCCACTGCCCCCCTCAGTGCTGCTCGTACCCCCCCAGCCTCCCAGGGCCAGGGCATGGCCTGATGGGAGAGCCAGGGGGCTCCTGCACTCTTGCCTCCTTCTCCCCCCCCTCAAACCATCCTCTTCCCCATTGGGATTAAAGATGACTTTAGGCCAGAGATGAGCGCAGAGTGGTGCTGTGGGATAGGGGGGGTGGGGGGTCGGGGTGCATGGGGTCACTGCGGGGCCTCTCCTTGCACTCCCCCACTCTGTACCCCCCCTGTTGGCCCCATGGTGGGGGCCGGGGGGCTGCTCCTGCCCTGTGCGGGCGCTGAGCACAGCAAAGCCTTTTGTCGGAGCCTCTGCAGCCCCGGCAGATTCCTGTGGGCGCCAATGACTGCGCTCAGCCCTAATCCCCCCCGGCCAGGGGCTTAGTGCCTGCTAAGCCAGCCTGAATGCACCACAGCCAGGCTGGGGGGGGGGGCAGCGGCAGCCCCCAGGGGGGCACCTGCACCCCTGTGATGTGGGGCTGGGCATGGGGCACCTGCTGCCCCCAGGATGTGTGGGGTTGGGGCAGGCTGGCTCCCAGTGCTGCCCTCCCATAGTGTCCCCCCAAAACCTGGCTGGGGGGCGGGGGATGTCACAGTGTTGCCCACAGCCCCAAGTATGTTGTTGACCCTAGACCCTATAGAGGGTACCTATGGGTCAGAGCCACCCCCCAGCCGGCATCCCCAAGGGTGGGGGACGCAGCTCTGGGGGTCCCCACTCTCTCAGGGCGGTGGAACCACCCCTGAGGGGGGAACCGGGGTCCCACACAGCACCTCACCCACCCCATATTCCGGGCAGCGAAGCAGTTAAGGGGGGGTGGCGGTGGTGGGGTCCCACCCCCAGGGCCGGCTGGGGGGGGGCTTATAAAGGTGGGTGCGGGCGGCCCCCGGGAGGGGAGCGGGGCCGCACCGGGGCCAGGCCATGCGGGAGCTGCGCTCGTCCTCCTTCTGGAGGGCCATCCTGGCCGAGTTCCTGGGCAGCCTCCTCTACACCCTGCTGGGGCTGGGGGCTTCGCTGCGCTGGGCCCCGGGCCCCCACGGGGTCCTGGGGTCCGCCCTGGCCTTCGGGCTGGCCCAAGCCACCCTGGTGCAGGCACTGGGGCACGTCAGCGGCGGGCACATCAACCCGGCCATCACGTTGGCCTTCCTGCTGGCCTCGCAGCTCTCCCTGCCCCGCGCCCTGGGCTACCTGCTGGCTCAGCTGCTGGGTGCCCTGGCGGGGGCCGGCGTCCTCTATGGGGTGACACCGGCCGCCGTGCGCGGCACGCTGGGCCTCAGTGCGGTGAGCGGGGCGGGGAGGATGGGGGACTCTGGGGGGAGAATGGGGTGCTGGGAGGTGGGGGAGGAGAGAATAGGGGGCTGGGGTGGGGGGAAATGGGTGGGCTGGGGCGTGTTCGGGGTTTTGTGGGGATGGCTGAAGGGAAATAGGGGTTTGGGGAGAGGGCGTGAAGGTGGTTAATGGGGAATTGGGCAGCCAAGGTCTGGGAGGCGTGAGGCTGGGAGCCGGCGCTGAGCCCCTCTCCCCCACAGCTGCACCCCAGCGTGGGCCCGGGCCAGGGCACGGTGGTGGAGCTGCTGCTGACGGCTCAGTTCATCCTCTGCGTCTTCGCCAGCTTCGACGACCGCCACGACGGGCGCCCTGGCTCCGCTGCGCTGCCCATTGGCTTCTCCCTCACCCTCGGCCATCTCTTTGGGGTAAGGGGGGGTGGCAGCTCCGTGGGACGGGGGGAGCAGCCGGCACCCACCACCCCCTCCTTCCCCGCAGATCCCGTACACTGGTGCTGGCATGAACCCTGCACGCTCCTTTGCCCCCGCTGTCATCACCCGCAACTTTGCCAACCACTGGGTAAGTGGGGAGGACTCTGCGGCCCGGCCCAGTCCACTCCAGCCCATCTTTGTCCTGCCCAGTCCACCCCAGTCTGCCTCAACCCACTGCTGTGCTGCCCAGTGCATCCCACTCCTATCCCAGTGCATCTCAGCTTGACCCAATCCATCCTACTCTCGTCCCAGCGCACCCCAGTCAGCCTCAGTCTGCTGCAGTCCTGCCCGGTTCGCCCCAGTCCTGCCCCAGCCCATTCCAGTCCCGCCCAGTGCATCCCAGTCCTATCCCGGTCCATTTCAGCCTAACCCGATCCATGCCCCCGTCCCAGTCCACCGCAGCCCTATCCCGCTCCGTCCCATCCCATCCACAACCCCACCGGCTGCAGCGGCCCCGAGGGCTCCCCCCGGGGGGGTCGCACCCGTTATCACCGCACTCCTCGGGCTCAGGGATGGCCGCACAGGGGGGTCGCGGCCGCCCCTCTCTCGGGTTGGGGGGTCGGATGGGGGGTTCCCTTGGCCGCCCCCTCCCACGCCGCCCCCCGCAGGTGTTCTGGGCGGGTCCGCTGCTGGGCGCGGCGCTGGCGGCTCTGCTGTACGAGCTGGCGCTGTGTCCGCGGGCGCGCAGCATGGCGGAGCGCCTGGCCGTGCTGCGGGGGGAGCCGCCCGCCGCCGCGCCGCCCCCCGAACCGCCGGCAGAACCGCTGGAGCTGAAGACGCAGGGGCTGTAGGGCCGCCCCCCAACCCCACCCCCAAACCCGGGGCCGCCTTTGCTGTGTCGGGGCCGCCGATGCGGTGCGTGTGGTGCGTGCGTGTGTGTGCGGGGCGGCGGGAGCGCGGCGGCCAACGGCACCCAACGGCCGGCCCCGCCCCGCCGCGGCGGGAGCTCCGTGTTCGGTGAATTAAACCTACGCTTTATTTTGGTAACCGCTCTCGGAGGGCGGGGGGCGGAGGGGGGGGGGCACCGCGTGCGGGGCGGAGCGCGGAGCGGCGCCTTCCCGCGCCCGAGGCGATGCCCCGCCCAGGGGGAGGGGCTACCGCACAGCCTGAGCCGTTCTTAAAAGGGCAACGTCGAGGTGGGCGCGGGGCGGGGAGTGGGGGGCAGCGCGGTGCGGGGAGAGCGGGGGCGTACGACTGGTCGCCACGAGGGGGATGAGAGGGGAGAAAGGTGCTGCGGTGCGTGGTCTCCGCTTGTAGCGGGCGGTGGGCGGAGGGGGGAAGGGGGAAGGGGGGGGGCTGACCGGCGCGGTTCTGGCGTTTCCGCTTTAAGGCCTCCGGCGGGGGACGGCGGGCGGGGCGGGGCGGGGCGGGAGCCGCGGGAACTGGGCCGGTTGTGTAACGGCGGCGGCGGGAGCGTGCGGGGCTGGGGGCTTTCGGTACCGGGATCGGGATCGGGATCGGGATCGGGATCGGGATCGGGATCGGGATCGCCACCCGGACCCGGACCCGGACCCTCAGAGCCGCCCGGTGCCCCGGGACCGGGGTCGGGCCGCTCCGCCCCGCCGGGTTTTGCCCGGCTCCCCGCGCCCGCCCCGCGCTGCATGGACTGGTACATGATGAACTGCGAGCTGCTGGCCACCTGCAGCGCCCTGGGCTACCTGGAGGGCGACGTGTACCACCGCGAACCCGACTGCCTCGGTACGGCACGGGGAATGGGGGGGCGGGGGGAGAAACCGGGGGGTGCGGAGTTCTGACCGCCCCTCCCGCAGAGAGCGTGAAGGATCTGATCCGGTACCTCCGGCACGAGGATGAGAGCCGCGACGTGCGGCAGCAGCTGGGAGCAGCGCAGATCCTGCAGAACGATCTGCTGCCGCTGCTCGTTCAGTACCCGCAGGACCGGACGCTTTTCGATGCCGTCGTCAGGTACCGGGGAGCTGCGGGGATGGTGCGGGGCTGCGGTCCCACGTGGGCAGCGGTCCCGAGTCCTGCCTCCTCCCCCCCCCCCCAACTCCCCCCATAGGCTGATGGTGAACCTGACGCAGCCGGCGCTGCTCTGCTTCGGCAAAGTGCCGTCGGACGCCACCGCCCGGCACCACTTCCTGCAGGTGCTGTCCTACCTGCAGGCGTACAAAGAGGTGAGGGTGCACCATCTCCGGGTGGGGGGGGGGGTCTTCAAAGCTCTCCCCCCCCACACACACAGAGCTCACAAAGGGGTTTCTGCAGGCGTTCGCCAGTGAGAAGGTGTTTGGGGTGCTGAGCGAGAAGTTGTACGAAGTGCTGCAGCTGGTGGGTGCTGGGGATCTTGGGGGGGGTCCTATGGGGCTGAGGGTCAGGGGGCGGCTATGGGGCTGGGGAGGTCTATGGGAGTTCTGACAGCCGTGCACTGCAGGACTGGGAGCAGAGGCAGGAGGAGGACACGCTGCTGATCGAGCGGATCCTGCTGCTGGTGCGCAATGTGCTGCACGTGCCCCCCGACCCCGCTGCGGAGCAGGTAATGGGAGGGGAGGGGGGGTACAGACACAGGGATCCTCAAGGTAAGCTGCCCTGCATGCTGCCCCCCACCCTGTGCTGCCCCCCAGGGTGTGGATGGCGATGCCAGCGTGCACGACCGCGTGCTGTGGGCTCTGCACATCAGCGGCATGGATGACCTGCTCAAGTTCCTGTCCAGCGCGCCAGCTGAGCAGCAGTGGGCTCTGCACGTCCTCGAGATCATCTCCCTCATGTTCCGTGACCAGGTGAGCAGGGTGGGCGCAGGGACCACCCCAAGCCCCCATCCAGCTGTGCTGAACCCCCCACCCACCCTGCAGAGCCCGGAGCAGCTGGCAGCGCTGGGACAGGGGCGGGCAGGCACGGAGTGCGGGGAGGACACGCGGGAGCTGCAGAGTCTGCGGCAGCGGGAGCAGGCAGAGCAGAGAGCACGGGTGCTGCAGCGTCCATCCAGGTGGGAAGGGGGGCTGAAGGGGGGGGGGCAGAACCCTGTGGTAGGGCCAACGTTGCTCATCTTGTGCATTCTCCCCTCCAGGCACTCCCGTTTCCGCGGTTCCTATGTCATCCAGGGGCTGAAGGCCATCGGGGAGCACGATGTTGTCTTCCATAAGGGGCTGCACAACGTGAGTATGGGGGTGGGGAGCACCAGGGGGGGCTCGGTACGGTGTCAAGGGGCTCAATGTCGTGCTGAGGGGACACAGCTCATGCTCTCCTCTCTCCCCACAGCTGCAGAGCTACAGCCACGACCTGGGCAAGGAGACGCGCCGGGTGCCGCGGCGTCGCTGGGCCCCCCCTGAGCCAGGACCCCCCCGGCGCTCCGCCCGCAACGTCCGGCTCTTCCTGAGCTGCTTCTGCCAGGACTTTCTGGAGGGCTGCTACAACCGCCTGATGCTGCTGGTCAAGGTGAGGGTGGGGAGTCATTCCCCCCACCTGCGCTCACCCACCCCACTTCAGGTCTACCCCCTTCCTGGGGTCACCCTGTGCTCAGTTCCCCCACACGCCCCCCAGGACCAATTGCTGCGGGAGAAGGCACAGCAGCACGATGAGACGTACTACCTCTGGGCCACTGCCTTCTTCATGGCCTTCAACCGTGGCCGGGGATTCCGTGCTGAGCTGGTGTCGGAGACGGTGAGCGTGCGTGCCTTCCACTTCATCGAGCAGCACCTCACCAACTACTATGAGATGGCACTGATGGACAAGAAGGAGGCGGCCACCTGGGCGCGCAGGTGGGGGTCACAGCCCCCTCTTTGGCCCCAAACCCCCTCCAGCACCGCCTGACCACCCCTGTCCCCCCTGCAGGATGCACCTGGCTCTGAAGGCGTACCAGGAGCTGCTGCGCACGGTGCAGGAGATGGACCGCTCCCCAGAGCCGGCGGTGCGGGACAGCAGTCAGGTCATCAAGAGTGAGTCCGTCCCTTTGTCCATCCGTGTGTTTATCCATCTGTGGCTCTGTCTGTCTGTCCATCCCTCTCTCTGTCTGCATGGCTCTCTTTCCTTGTGTCTCTCTATCCACGTGTTTGTCCGTGCGTCAATCTCTCTCGGCATCCGTCTGTCCGTCCCCCTGTCCAACCACTCACACATCCGTCTGTCTGTCCACACTGACCCTACCCCCTCCCGCCCCCCCAGACCACATCTTCTATCTGATGGAGTACCGGGAGCTGCTCCTCGCGCTCTTTCGGAAGTTCGATGAGACGAAGCAGCCTCGTGCCTTCCTGCGGGACCTGGTGGAGACGGCGCATCTCTTCCTGCAAATGCTGGAGCGCTTCTGTCGCGGCCGCTCCGGCCTCGTGGTGCAGGTGGGTTGGGGTCACCGAGGCTCTGCGTGGGTCCTTGTGGTCCCTCCTGACCCCCTCCTCTCCTTCATCATGCAGAGCAAACGTGTGAGGAGGAAGAAGAAGCCCCGTGCCCCTGCAGCACCGCAGCCGCCGGGCGCAGCGGAGCTGGAGGAGCTGTGGGCGGCAGTGGCCCAGCAACTCCAGGACTGCCTGCAGGTAGGGACAGGCCCTGCTGTGAGGGGGTGTCTGTGGGGTGCAGGGTGACGATGTGACCCCCCCCAGGGCACGGTGCCGCTCCCTGAGGACGTGGTGCCTTTTGATGCTGCCTCGGAGACCCCGGTGGAGGAGCAGCGCGCGGTGGCTCTGCTGCGCATCCAGGAGTGCCTGCGGGAGGGGAGAGCCCCCCAGGCCCTGCGGCTGCTGCGCTCTGCCAGGTACCCCCAGCCCCCATCCCACCCCTCAGTACGTGGGGATGCAGTGCCAACCTCTGCCCTCCACACAGGGAAGTGTGGCCTGAAGGGGATGTTTTCGGCCCCCCTGGCGCGGAGCCCCCTGAGGAGACGCAGCTGCTGCGGGAGATCTGCTTTGCTGCTCTGCCCCGTGAGTGCACAGCCCTGTCCCGTGGCAGTGGGGTCTGGGGGTGCTCTGGGCCCCTAACGCTGCCCCCCACAGGTCCCACACCCTCCCCTGAGGCTGAGGAGCCGGAGGAGCCTGAGGAAGAGGAGGAGGAAGAGGAGGAAGAGGAGGAGGAGGCTGTGCGGGTGTCGGAGAAGGAGTTCAATTTCATGGACTACCTGAAGCGGTGAGGAGAGCCTCTGAGAGGGGGAGGGGGGCACAGGGAGGGCAGCACAGTGCTGCTCACCAATTATGGGGGGGGGTTCCAGGTTTGCCTGCGTGCCCGTGGTCCGTGCCTGCGCGCTGCTGCTGCGGGGCTACGCACAGAACAGCGCCCGCACCAACCACTGTGCTGCACGGCTGCTGCACCGCCTGTCCCGGCAGCTGCGCATGGAGGCGCTGCTCTTCCAGCTCTCCCTCTTCACCCTCTTCCAACGCCTCCTCAGCGACCCCAGCGCCCACCAGGTGAGGCACAGCCCCAACTCCCCCCTGGACCCCAAACCCCAATTCCGGCCCGGTGCAGTCCTGCTGCCCTCACCCCTCTGTTCCACCCCCAGGAGCTGGTGGCCTTGGCCAAGTTTATCCTGGGTAAGTTCTTCACGCTGGCAGCCACCAACAAGAAGGCATTCGTGGAGCTGCTCTTCTGGAAGAACGCCACGGCTGTGCGCGAGATGAGTGAAGGCTACAGCTCCCTGAGGGATGGGGAGGGGTGAGTGGACTAGGGGGGCTGTGGGGTTGAGAGAGGGGCAGTGGGCATGGGGAGGGGGCTGTGGGCTGGGAAAAGAGCTCTGACTTCCCCTCATCACTCCTTTGCCCAGGGCTGGAGCATGCCGGACCCCCGCCTGGAGCCCACAGGAGGAGCAGGCGCTGCGGGAGCTGTTCTGGAAGTATAAGGAGGCAGAAGGTACGTGGGCATGGTGGGGGGCAGGGGATGGTGGGGACTCTCCCTGCAGGCCCCACTCCCACAGGTCAGGACATCATTGCCTCCATCCTGGCGGAGCTGCCTGGCCGCACACGGCGACAAGTGGTGCAGCAGTTGGTGCGCATGGGGCTGGCGGGCAGCGCCAGGGACTTCCCACGGCCAAGGTGGGGATGAGACCCCCAAGTGGGGACCCCCGTGATGGGGAGCACTTTGTGTGCCCACGTAAGCACCCAGGGTTGTGTCCTCCCCTCCCCCCAGGAAGGGCACCAATATTGTGCTGTGGACAGAGGAGCAGGAGCTGGAGCTGGAGCGGCTCTTTGAGGAGTTCAGGGGATCGGATGGTGAGTGGGTTCCAAGGGGAGGGGTGTGTGGGGGGGTCCAGCACCCTGCCGACCCCCCACACTGACCCCTGCCCACAGACATCCTGGGGAACATCATGAAGAACCTGACGGCACGGCGCTCACGGGCACGTGTGGTGGAGAAGCTGCTGGCAATGGGGTTGGTGGCAGAGCGCAAGGAGCTGCACAAGAAGCGCCGGAGGAAGAGCTGCGGCCCCCAAATGGTACGTGGGTTTGGGGGGGTCGGGGGGCTCCAATCCAGGGGTGCTGTCCCCCTTCCCCTCCTCCCCTGGGCACCCAACCGCCCCACCGGCACCCAAGTGTTATGGCCCCTGCAGGGTGAGGCAGATGCTGCAGCGGTTTCAGCCCATAACAGCTCTGCTGAGGACAGCGAGGAGGAGGAAGAGGAGGAGGAGGAGGAAGATGAAGCAGAGGATGACCCCTTGGAGGAGCCCTGGGACCCCAAGGAGGGGACGGGGCTGGCCCTGGTGCAGCGCCTGCAGCAGGAAGGTGGGTGGGAGCAAGGAGCTGTGACCTCACCGCCCCTCAGGCTTGACCCCCCCCTCCATCCTTTGGGGTCAGTGGGGCTGCACTCTGACTCCACCAACTCCAGGGCTGGATGGGCCCCTGCGGTGGCTGCAGAACTGCCTGAGGAGGACGGCGCGGGACCGTGAGACGGAAGGTGAGCAGGGCTGGGGGGGCACAGGGCTGGAGATGGGGAAGGGGCTGGGCTGACGGCACTTCCCCCCCCCCAGGGATGTCCTTCCCAGTGCCCTTGGTGCCGCTCTCAGAGGAGAACGAAGATGCCATGGAGAACCGGGGCTTCCGTGCTCTGCTGCGGGAGGTGGGGCTGCGGCCCCCCGCCAACGAGCAGGTGATGCCCCCATCCCCATCTTGTTCCCATTGCTCCTGGCACAGCCCACAGCATCCCCCCTCTGTCCCCAGGAGTCCTTCTGGCGCATCCCTGCTGCCCTCACCCCACAGCAGCTGCGCCGCGCGGCCGCCTCCATCACCCCCCCGAGCCCTCAGGGACCCCTCCAGGAGCTGCCCCCCCAGGAGCTGCCAGCAGCACCACAGGACCCCGCTGGAGGTGAAGGTGTGGGCTGGGGCCCAGGGAGCAGGGTGAGGGGTGCAGGAACCTCCCCTGAGCCCCTCTGCCCCACAGCAGAGCCGCTGCCATCCCCGCTGGGATCGGACTCAGAGAGGTGAGGCTGGGGTCCCACGTGCTGAGCCTACAGCGGGGTCCTCGCTCATGGTGGGACGGGGGCCATGGCCTCTGGGACCCCCATGGGCTCTGCTGACTCTATCCCCCCCCCCCCCCAGTGAGGAGCCCCTCACCGTCCCTGCACCATCAGGCAGCAAACGGCGGCGGCAGCTCGACAGCGAGGATGAGGATGGTGACATGGGTGAGTGCAGCCCCTTCCCTGGTTGTAGGGGGGCTTTTCCTCCCTTCTGCCCCTGACCCCTTCCACTTCCATAGAGGCAGAGCTGCCCCCCCCGGATCCCTTGTCAGAAGAGGATGAGGACCCCCACCCCATGGGCAGGAGAAAACGCATCCGCCGCCTTCTGGAGGAGGAGGAGGAGGAGGAGGAAGATTGAGCCCCCCCAGGACAGCAGTCCCTGCAACGCCCCCACTCTGCTTTCGGGGCTTTTTGTACAGGTTTATCAGTTCTGGGGGTTCTCTGTGGGTTTTTTAGCTCTTTTTGAAGGCGCAGTGCTTTTCCTTCCCCTGTCCCCATTTTACCTTTTTGCCGGGGTTTGGGTTTCGGCTTTGTTTGTTTGTTTTTGACACTGTTTTACATCGGGAACGGCACCAAATAAATCAATACACGAAGTCTCTGGGCTGTGCCCGGCGCTGTCGGGGGGGGGGAGGCCGGGCGGGGGGCGGTGCGGGGCTCCGTCCCCGTGTGTCGCAATGGCAGCTGATAGCAGCGGTTATAAAGGGGCCGTGGAGGGGAGGGGGGGGCACAGCGCAGCGGCGGAGGTGCGGGGAGAGCGGTGACTGCGAGCGGTGGGGGGGGGGGGGGGGGGGGGGGGGGGGGGGGTGCAGCTGTGGGCTGACGGCTGTGCCCCCCCTAAACCTCCGCAGGTGCCCCCGAGCCGCCACCATGGGCCGCACTCTGCTCTTCCTCCTCTTCCTCCTCCTCCTCCAGGGCCGGGGGGAAACCGCGACCACCGGCCCCCCGCGGGGTGACGGAGGGACCGCGGCGGTGCGGGGGCTGCTGGCGGAGGTCGCTCCCCCACTGCAGGCATTGCGGGACCGGGGGGTTCCGTGCGGAGCGCTGCTCCCCGACGCCCTCCCCGGTTTCTCCCGCATCCCCCTGCTGCCCCGCGCCGTGTCCCGCGCCTCGTTGGCGCTGGCGCTGAACGGGGCCGGCTGCGAGGCGGAGGCGGAGGCGGCGGCGCGGGGGCTGTACCGGGAGCTGAGCCCCCCCGCGGCCACCGCCCTGCTGCGGGGTCTGGCGAGGCTGCGGGACGTCCCCGCGCACCGCACGCTGCCGCTGCTCTCCAGCCTGGCCCGGCTGCGGCGGCGCTGCGCTCCGCCCCGCAACGAGACCCGCACCGGGACGTTCCGGTGCCGTCGGGAGGCGGAGGACGACGCGTGCAGCCCGCCCGGGGAGCGCGAGGCGCACGGGGTGCTCGAGTGGGTGCCGGGCGTCAACGCCGTCTACAACCTGGGCAGCGGCCTCTACTTCGCCTTCCAGGGCTGCGAGCTGCTCGCGTCCGAGCGGGCGCTGCAGGCGGCCGAGGATTTGGGCTACGCGGCGCTGACGGCGCTCACCGGGGGCGGCCCCGTGGCCGTGGGGATCCGGTTCGGGCTGCAGCCCGGCATCAAAGCGGGGGTCCGCGCGCTCTACGGGTACTTCACCGCCGACGGGGAACCCCCGACGGCGCCCAGCTCGCACAGCGGCCCCGTCCTCGTGGTGTGAATAAAGGCGCGCCCCGCCCGTGTCCCCGCCGCTGTCTGTCCCGGTCGGTGCGGCCGCGCTGCCCCGGGGCGCGGGGACCTTGGCCCGGGGTCGGCCTTGGACGGGGCGCGAGGTGACAGCGCCCGGCGCGGGGACGGCGGCGCGCTGCCCCACGGCGCTGCCCCGCGGCTCCGACCTACGGGCTCAGCCCGCCGCTCCGTTCCCCGTGCTCCCGCTGCCGACCCCCCCCCGAGGCCGCCATCTCCTTCCGCGACCGCCCGCTGGCCCCGCCCCCTTGCCCATGCCCCCGCCCACTCGGCGTGACCACGCCCTCCCGCCTCGATCCTGTCCCTTTGCCCCGCCCCCGCCGCGGCCCCGCCCCCGTCGTCATTTCGGGGAAGCGGAGCAGCCCCCAGGAACTCCCGCATCGCCCGCCCCGGGGGGCGTGGCCTCACCGCCGCGCTCCACCAATCACCGCGCAAAGCCGGGAGGGGGCGTGGCCACAGTGCTTCCCTGCGCGGGGTGCGGGGACGGGACCGGGACCGGGACTGGGACCGGGCCGGGGTTCGGGGCTGGGAGCGGGGCGCCGCGTCCAGGTCTGGCACTGAATCGGGATTAGGGTCGAGGTACGGGGCCGGGGGTGTCCACCCGATGGGCGCTTCTGGTTGGGGCCTTTGGGTGCCGGGCAGCGGCGGGACGGGAGGGGTCTGGGGGGGGGGCTGCACCCCCAGCACGGCCCCCCCCGCACTGAGTTTGAGCGGAGGGAGCCGTTGGGGGGGGGGAGGTGGGTGTGTGGTGTGAGCGAGCACCGCTTCCATCCCCCGCAGCCGGAGGGGTCCCAGCAGCACGCCCTGCCCTCCCCACCCCCCAGCATGGCGCAGTGGCAGGAGATGCAGCAGTTGCCCCCCACCCACCTGGAGCGCGTACACCAACTGTACACCAACGCCGCGCTGCCCATGACCGTCCGGCAGAGCCTGGCGGACTGGATCGAGGACCAAGACTGGTACGGGGGGAATCGTGGGGCGGGGAGGATTCCCGTGGAGCGAAGGGGGGCTCCCCGTGGGGCAGGCACTGAGCGGTCCCGCAGGCAGCAGGCGGCCGAGCCCTTTTCGTCCCACGCGCGGATGCTGTTCCATTCGCTGCTGACGCTGCTGGGGGAGCAGCAGGGCAGCCTGGGGCCGGGCGATGAGGACTTCATGCTGAAGCACAACCTGCGCAAGGCGCGCATCGACCTGCAGGTGGGTGGGTGGTGGGTGGGGGACCGGGGAGTGGATCTATGGATGGAATGGGAACTTGCTGTGCACTGACACCCCTCCCCCCCCCGTGCCCCCCATAGGCTGCCTTCGAGGAGCACCCCGAGAACTTTGCCAACCTGGTGGCCAATCTGCTGCAGGAGGAGCGGTGCATCCTGCGGAGGGCACAGGCGAAGGGGCAGGTAGGGTGGGTTCCCCCCCCAGCCGGCAGAGCTGAGCCACCCAGTGCCTGACCCCCCCACGTCCCATAGGTGGAGACCCCCCCAGCACCCAGCACAGCCCCACAGAACAGCCAGGAGCAGGAGATCCAGCAGCGCCTGGCCGAATTCCGCACCGCCCTGCAGGTAATGCCTCCCCACAGCCCCCCACCCCATGGGGGCTGCACAGTCCCTCACTCCCCCCCAATCCACAGGAAGCTGAGCGTGCATTCCGACACATGGAGGACCTGCAGGACACCTTTGACTTCAGCTATAAGATGTACTACATGCCGGGTAAGGCTGCATCTCAAGGGGGGGGTGGCACAGCCAGCGCTCCCTCCACCCCCCTAAAACCCCACCCCAATGCTGCAGGCCAGGACCACTCCCACGACCCGCAGTACGCACAGCACGTCCAAGCACTCCAGGCCAAGCTGCAGTCCCTGGACCGGCAGCGGCGGGTGAGCAAGGGCAGAGCCAGGCCACGGGGAGAAGAGGGGGGTGTAGCTGCCATGTGGCCTCCATTCAGATCCTGTCCCTGCAGGAGGTGGTGGCACAGATTCAGCAGCTGCTGGGGCGCAGCGAGACCTTGCGGGACTTCCTGCAGCAGGAGCTGAGCGCATGGCGTGAGAGGCAGCAGCGCAGCTGCCTGGGAGCCCCCACTGATACCTGCCTGCTGCAGCTGCAGGGCTGGTAGGGGTGGGCTGGGGGGGCTGGGGGGCGGTCGGGGGGGGCCATGCCCTGCTGACCCCACCACCTGCAGGTTCACGGCGCTGGGCGAGGGGCTCTTCCAGCTGCTGCAGCTGCTGCGGGCAGTGGGAGAGCTGCGGCAAAAGGTGACCTACGAGCAGGACCCGCTGCAGTCAGAGCTGCCGCTGCTGGAGAAGCGGCTGCTGGAGCAGCTCACCTGCCTGCTGCAGAGGTGGGGGACACAGCATGGGGGGGGGCTGGGGATGGGATGGAGCTCTCTGAGACCCCCCCCCTGCCCGCAGTGCCTTCGTGGTGGAGCAGCAGCCCTGCATGCCCAACACCCCCAAGCGCCCGCTGGTGCTGCGCACAGCCAACAAGTTCTGCACGCGCGCCCGCCTGCTGGTCCGCCTGCACGACCGCAACCACCGCATGGAGGCCAACATCCACATCGACAGGTCGGGGGGGCCGGGTCCCACCACCCCCCGTTAGGGTCCTGAGCCATGCTCACAGCTGACACCGTGTTGCCTTTTACAGGGACCCGCCGAAGACGCGAGGGTGAGAGCCGAGTACCAGCAATGGTGGCAGGAATGGGACGTCAGGGGGGATTCCTGGTATCCCCAGAGGGGTATCAGCATCTCCAGGGGACGTCAGCTGCAGCAGCCACCACCTGCTACCTGCATGTGCCCCACAGGTTCCGCAAATTCAATATTCTGACCTCGAGCAGCAAAACCGTCCTGGTTGGGGACAGCCCCCGGGAGGGGTTGGTCTGCGACTTCCAGTACCTTGTATGCACCCCCCTTCCTGCACTGGGTCCTCCCCATCTGGGACCCCTGCTTGGGTCCGCTCCATCCCAGCCCCACTTTGACCTCCCCCGCCCCTCCACAGACGCTGAAGGAACAGAAGGGCGGAGGATCGGGCAAAGGCAGCAGAGGCACCAATGAGGTGGGTGTGGGTTCTGGGGAGGGGGCGCAGGGTGAGCAGTGGGTGAGGGTTCCCATCCTGTGCAGGGTCCTCTGGCTGTGACTGAGGAGCTTCACCTCATCACCTTCACGCTGGCGTATGCATACTGTGGGCTAGAGCTGAAGCTGGAAGTGAGTTTTGGGGGGGTGGGTGTCTGGGTGTTGGGGCTGCCTGTAATGACCCCCACTTCCCCCACAGACCTCCACGCTGCCCTTCGTCATCATCTCCAACAACAACCAGCTCTCCAGCGCCTGGGCCTCCGTGCTCTGGTTCAACATGCTGAGCCCCAACCCCAAGGCAAGCAGCCCTCACACTGTCCCTCCTACCACCACACCCCTGCCCGACCCATTGCCCCATTCCCCAGTCCTAATGACCCATCCCTGTTTTGTCTGTGTCCTATGCTATGTCTGTTCCCTTACTCTGTCCCCTGTGCTGATCTCACCCCATGCCCTATTCCATTTTCTGTACCACATCTGTCCCACATGTCTGTCCTTTTCCCATCCCTGCCCAGTCCCCCCATCCATCTCACCAGTCCCATCCCTTTCACGGGTCCCATCCTGCCCACTGGTGCCATCCCTACAGGACCAGCAGTTCTTCTCCACACCACCCCCAGCCCCATGGCCCCGGCTGGCGGAGGTGCTGAGTTGGCAGTTCCAGAGCACAGCTGAGCGGGGTCTGAGCCGGGAGCACCTGCACATGTTGGCTGAGAAGCTCTTTGGTACGGCCCTGCATCCCTGAGCCCCCAAGCCACAGCCCAGCCCCCCTCACTCACCCCCCTCCCCCCTCCCCAGGCTCAAAGCCATCTCCAGAGAGTGCCTTGCCCTGGAC